TCTCTCTCTCTCTCTAATTGCATTGGAATAACTTAAATCTGATAATCATGCGTGGAGCATTTAGACCGGTGTTTCTATGGGCTAATTTAAAAGAAAGATTTTCTGATTTGAAACAAATTGATTTTCCAAATTAGATGATGCAGCCACTGTTAGTGGATTTGTCTGATATTTTAAATATGCAACGTCAAGAAGTACTCGCAGAAACGCAAAATATTTAATCTAAAAGGAGCGATGGCATGGCTTTGTGGGAAAACAGAAATACAAAATCCAAGTTCAACCAAGCGTGCAAGAAAACGATTGTTACCGTTTCCATCTTTATATTTAGCTGAATGTGGATTTAGTGCCATAAATGATTTCTGGCAAAATAAAAAAAAATAAAAATTTTAAAAAGAAAAGAAATCCGGTGGATATAGCACGACGGGGAGACTAGAGAATGAAGGACGACGGGGAGACTGGAGACTGAAGGACGACGGGGAGACTGGAGACTGAAGGACGACGGGGAGACTGGAGACTGAAGGACGACGGGGAGACTGGAGACTGAAGGACGACGGGGAGACTGGAGAATGACGCTAACTAAATGGAAACTAACTTAAAATCTCTTTGCAGCACGCATCAAGCACAAACATCTCAATATTAAATTAAAATAACATTGAAAAATCTTTCATTACAATTATTTCGTACATGAATTTCAGTTCTCCATTAAATGTTTTGAAAATTTATTTACTATGTTTCTTCACCAATTTCTTAGTGATTTCTCCCTAAAACCTATTATTTAAGTTTCTTCAGTGAATATTAAAAATTGTCTGCATGATACATGGGAGGGGGGCATACGAATTTTAGAAAGGCTTTGGTGGGGTATGGCATAAAAAAGAGCTTGGGAAACACTGATTTAGACCGACACTTCTAGAAAAGTCTCATGTTCCTACTTGTTAGTCCATGCCTATTTGATGACACAGCTCTATTTATAGCTATAACTTGAAATACGGAGTAATAATATTATCAAAAACCTAGTTCGGGGAACCAAGTCTCTTCTCGGTACAGCAACGGTTTTGTTGAAAGGCTTACGCCTGATTATTGGGTGACCAGACATATGCGCACAAGACAATTGCGCACACGACAAACGCGCACAGACAATCCCGCAATGACACAAATGCGCACAGGACAAACACGAACACCGATAGTTGCGCACACGGACAATGGCGCACACCGACAAATGCGGACACCGACAATCCCGCACAGTGACAAATGCGAACGGCTATATAAGCGCACACCGACAAATGCGCAAACTGACAATGAAGCTATAATTAAAACAACAAAAAACATGTTTAAATATAATTTAGTTCAAATAGTTTTCAGTACCAGAAAGGAAGGCAAAGTATGGAGGAAAAAAGGAACAAAATAAACAACAAAAGAAATTGAATTTAAAATAATTCAGAAAAAATATTAAATGTCGAAATAGTTTTTTCATTATGAGAGTGGAAGATATAAAACTAACTGAACCGTAGCTAACTGGTTTTAACTGCTTTCAATTTCATTCAATCATTGCCATTTATACACATCTTCATTCAAAACCTTAGCGTTTATTGAATTTTAAGAGAAAAACTCGTTATTTGAGGAAGAGAATGGAAGGTTAGTATAATAATAACAGTGGTAAACTGTAAAAATATAAATATTTAGCTATATAAAATATTAATATTACTTAAACAAGCCACGATGATGCACTTAGTACTTTAGTTTAGATTTTACATTCATTACATTTATTCAAAATCGCTTTTCAAGTGGTTGATTGAGAACGTTTTCTAAGACTAAGAAAATACTATGACATGAAGTGAATTATTTTACATCTTAATTAATTATTTTAAAAAATTGTAAATGGGTTGCCATTTGCGGTTTGCGATATCTGACATCATTCCTCATTGATCATTGCGTTAGCCAATGCAGGATAGTTCAGTATAGTATTATTCTTTTATTACTTTTATTATTATGTATACTAATGACTAGTGAGTCTAAGTCTAATTTAGTTAATTTAGTCTAATGCAATGCTTGACAATGCTATTTTAATAATTTTACTATTTGGCATTGGCAACAATTGGCAATATAATCAATAATAACCCTAAAATATGTGTTTGTCTAGAGTCTACTATACTAATACTTAACTATTACAGAATTAATGAGGAACCACTAGAGCTTAATAGCAACAGGTATAAAAAAATAATTTGAACTGAAAGAATATTGCTGGAAATTATAATAATATATAGAGTAGTAATAACCTTTCATTTGAAGTTTGCGTATTGTTCTAATGGTAGTTTAAATCCTAATTGCAAAGTTATGTGTAATAAAATATCAACAGTATTTTCATCATTCAATTAGGACTTCCTTCTACACTATAAATAACCAAGATTATGTACCTAATAAATCTGCGGGTTGAAAGAGGGGTCGCAATAAAACTACGTGTTAATCACTAATAAAAAATTTTCAAATCGGTTGCATGAATGCATGTTTCAAAACGTACTTTGCCTTTAGAAAAGTGCAATGCCAAATCTTATTTTAAGAGTAAAATTCCTCTTTCTTTTATTAAAAAAAAAAAATTATTTTTAGTATAATGTATAAGTATACGTCTTATTTTCAACTATATGCTTAAGTAGTAGTAGGCTACTGCTGTTATTTGTTTAATAATCATTTGACGAGCTTCCATCATACTACGATGGTTTAACATGCTGATTAAGACTTAAATATCCAATTGAAATTTTTTAAATGACATCTCTTAAAAATCATGACGTAGCAGTACTACTAGAACGAACATTTTATTACTATACTATTAGTCTATACATTTAAAAGTTAATTTTTTTTAAAATATGCATACAATTATTATTACATTTATTATGATTATTAATATATTGTTAGCTTTAAACATGATGTATTTTGGCTGAAAACCAACTAAGACTAAATCCATTATCATCTTTAAATTGGCGATGCATAACTTGCTATTTGCGCATTTGTCGGTGTGCGCTTATATAGCCGTTCGCATTTGTCACTGTGCGGGATTGTCGGTGTCCGCATTTGTCGGTGTGCGCCATTGTCCGTGTGCGCAACTATCGGTGTTCGCGTTTGTCCTGTGCGCATTTGTGTCATTGCGGAATTGTCTGTGCGCGTTTGTCGTGTGCGCAATTGTCTTGTGCGCGTTTGTCACGGAACCTGATTATTGGTAGTCCTAGAGATCTCTGTGACGTCAGAAATAGAATGTTTGATTACCTCACATTTAGATGTAAAGGGGTTGTATTTTTTAAGGGGAGGGTGTGCGACCAGATCGGTAGGACACTTAACAGCAGGATATTTCACTCTTAAGTTATGTTATAAATGTTTACGTTAAAAAACAACAACACCTGAATTAACAATTTAATTAAATGTAATAGGTCACAGGCTTATTGTTTTAAGTTTCACAATTCTATTTGGAATTCAATTCTTATATTTTTTTAAGATTAAATTTTATTCAAATTTACAATATATTGTTATTTTTCTTTAATGGGTTGTCAGACTCAACTACACAATTCGTAATGGTACAGGGGGGTCGGTGATCATTAGTCAAACAATTCGTAATGGGAAGGGGGTTAAAAGATTGGTAGGGGGCTCGAGACCTTGTCAACAACTCGTAAGCGGGCCTCACATCTATAAAACCCTGATGCACAGCGGTTCATTCTTGTTGTAAACTCGATTTTAAATGAAGTATCTAAATATTTTTAATGGGGTATACTATCTCACCTGACGCTATACAATTTATAGTGTGAGAATTGTGTGCATTAAGAATAAATCAATAATTATGAATATAGTTTATTTGGTGTTTATCTTATGTTTAAGGTGTTATGAAAGAATAGGCCCATTTTAAGAAACATTTGAAAGTTGAAAGGATTAATTATTTACCTCAATTTAGGATAATATTTGATACATTAATTTTTAATATTTACTTTTTTTTTTAATAACAAAACAAACATTAACATAGCTGCTTTTTTTTTTAATGATATGAAATTTAAAAAAATATAATTCAAGAAAAATTTTAAGTTGAAGAAAATAATGTGTTTATTGAAATGAAGTGTAACATCAAAATCAAATGCTAAAAATGGATTAAAAATTAAATTAAGTGACGTAAGTGACAGAAATTTTTTTTTTAAGCTATCTAAACACAAGCAAACAATGTATTTGTATCAATCAAATAATGATAGATAGAAATAATGAAAAGAAAGTAATTACAAACGATTCGCTCTGCGGTTGTTGTTTTTTTTGTGGTGGGTGGGTTGTTCAAGACAGAATCTCTAGGATTCGTTGTACATCATCTCAGTAACAATCAGCTGCCATTAAACATCATCTTATAAAGTTACACGTACTTGGTACATCCTTTCAAACAAGCTGAACATTCATAATGCATCCTCCCGATAAAGCACATTATTAATAGGGCATAGTGGAGTCTGAATCAAGGGCAACATTGGTCAAGCATCATCTCAATAACTCTTGGAACATCATTTAGATTTCAGTGTAACCTTCACGGTACATCATACTAACCCAACTAATCCATGAAGCCATACATGTATAAAAAACCAACATTTTTCACTGTACACTTTTACAATTGTGTCTCCCCCCCCCTTTCCTTTTTGGTCATTAGTTCAATCCCCCACCCCAAGTTTGTGAGGAGCTCATCCCACTTTAAAGAGAGCAGAAAAATGCTGAGCATGTTTCTATTCGTTCATCTGATGCGAATGAGCTGAATGTTAAACTTCTGTTACACCGAGGAGTTGACCTCACAGCCGAGCTTCTCACCTCTGTCTGTTCAATGTCTAGAAGTGGACGTGTAACTTATGTAACCTTTCACAGAATTACAGCATTACATTTGAAGTTAAATGTCACTGTATTAATCACTTCACTCTCTCTTCAAATGAAATCAGTTCAGGTACTTATCAACTTTTTTTTCCGGTGCAAATCAACATGTACATAGTTTTAAGGTACACATCGACATTTACACCCTATCATTAACAAATCAACATGTACATAGTTTTAAGGTACACATCGACATTTACACCCTATCATTAACAAATCAACATGTACATAGTTTTAAGGTACACATCGACATTTACACCCTATCATTAACAAATCAACATGTACATAGTTTTAAGGTACACATCGACATGCATATTATAATTTCAGGTACAGATCGACATTTACACCCTATCATTAACAAATCAACATGTACATAGTTTTAAGGTACACATCGACATGCATATTATAATTTCAGGTACAGATCGACATTTACACCCTTTCATTAACAAATCAACATTTTCAGATAAAAATCTACATTCAAAACATTTCAATACAAAAGAAAGTTTTTATGTTATTTCTTTTCGTCTAAATATTTCAGTCTATTTACCGCGCCATACTACTGCTGGGGAACAATAAAGTAAAAGTACCTCCAGTCTGGTAATATTTCCAGGGCTCATCGATAAATTGTTTCATGTTCAATATTTCCTAACCACCTCGTAGACGCCCGGTCAGAAAAACAGTAGTGTTCTCTTTGATATCGTAGTGCTCAAGGGTCATTCCAGGCGACAGATTTCTCCCAGCATAGGTCAAACGTTGCTGATCTTTAGGAATGCGCAACTTGTCAAAAATCATGCCCATCAACTCGTCAACACGATAACTTGTCTGTACTTCAAACGTATAGGGCTTACTGTCAAGATGGTTTTGAACAAATATTTGAAAAGTGTTGCGTTGGATAACGCATGGTCTCCCAGGTACAAACGCATCGTTAGCCTCACCAATGGTAATGGTTCCCAGGACATCAGCTTGTCTATTTACTGTTCCCTGGACATTTGGAGCGTGAACCCCGTTGCCTTCCCTGAGAACCGTGTGTGTAGTTGGTCGGTCTCCTGGCCTTGGACTTACGGTAACACTCTCAGTTGAATTGGCTGATTGGTTCCTTCTCGCAAAACGAGGCGATTCACTTAGTGACGCTGTGATGGTCAGTCCATTCCCATTGTCTACTTCCATGGGCGTGGGCCGACCGTTGGGGACATGAGAATCCCTGCTGCCTTGGACTGGATTTCTATTTACGTTGTTGGGAGTTGGCTCCATTTTGTCTGTGAAAATAATTTAAACATTTTTTGTTGAAAATTACGCTTTTAATTTTAAATAATTAATATTTCTAATGGGAAACACTTCGTTTTAAAACCACTTACCTGACCATAATGATTGCTGACCAGAATGATTACTGACCAGAATGATTGCTGACCAGAATGATTCCTGACCAGAATGATTGCTGACCAGAATGATTCCTGACCAGAATGATTCCTGACCAGAATGATTCCTGACCAGAATGATTCCTGACCAGAATGATTCCTGACCAGAATGATTCCTGACCAGAATGATTGCTGACCAGAATGATTCCTGACCAGAATGATTCCTGACCAGAATGATTCCTGACCAGAATGATTCCTGACCAGAATGATTCCTGACCAGAATGATTCCTGACCAGAATGATTCCTAACCAGAATGATTCCTGACCAGAATGATTGCTGACCAGAATAATTCCTGACCAGAATAATTCCTGACCAGAATGATTCCTGACCAGAATGATTCTTTGTCATATTTATGGATGAGTCTTATAGATATAATATGTTCATCGTCCACCTCCAACCTTTGGAGGCAATGGTCAAAGTGTGCTGTTTCTTTTCGCAAGACCAGTCCACACTATTGTAAATATATGCGATGTAGTATGGTGGTGTGATGTAGTATGGAGATGTATTATGGTGATGTAGTATGGTGATGTAGTATGGTGATGTAGTATGGTGATGTAGTATGGTGATGTAGTATGGTGATGTAGTATGGTGATGTAGTATGGTGATGTAGTATGGTGATGTGGTGTAGTATGGTGATGTGATGTAGTATGGTGATGTAGTATGGTGATGTGGTGTAGTATGGTGATGTGATGTAGTATGGTGATGTAGTAATGGGATGTAGTATGGTGATGTAGTATGGTAATGTGATGTAGTATGGTGATGTAGTATGGTGATGTGGTGTAGTATGGTGATGTGATGTAGTATGGTGATGTAGTAATGGGATGTAGTATGGTGATGTAGTATGGTGATGTAGTATGGTGTTGTATTATGGTGATGTAGTATGGTGATGTAGTATGGTGATGTGATGTAATATGGTGATGTTGTATGGTGATGTAGTATGGTGATGTAGTATGGTGATGTAGTATGGTGATGTAGTATGGTGATGTAGTATGGTGATGTAGTATGGTGATGTAGTATGGTGAAGTAGGCCATATCCATCCACTCAGACCTAAAATGCTTTTCTCTTCCATGCTTGGAATTCCCAACTGCTGTAGATCCCTCTCCATAACATCCATCCATCTGTCTTGCTTCCGTTTTCCTCTGGGATTTTGGTGATGCACCCTCTCCACGCCTCTGCCACTTGGCATTCTCTCTAAGTAGTCTATGTGTCCCACCCAGCGTAGCCCCCCCCCCCCTTTTTGATTTCTGCTACTATCTTTTAGACTTTACAATTCCTGGTTGGTTCGTATTCTCCATCCATATTCAAGTTTTCCTCTGGGATTTTGGTGATGCACCCTCTCCCCGCCTCTGCCACTTGGCATTCTCTCTAAGTAGTCTATGTGTCCCACCCAGCGTAGCCCCCCCCCCCCCTTTTTGATTTCTGCTACTATCTTTTAGACTTTACAATTCCTGGTTGGTTCGTATTCTCCATCCATATTCATCCTTTGTTGGTGCATAATAGTGAATATATATTTTCCTAAGAACTTTTCTCTCCCATTTGTTTAATAGGTTTTCTGCGGCTTTTTGTTCAAGTTTTACTCGAGTATGTTACAACTGGTCTGATTACAGCTTTATATATATAAATGAATAAATAAATAAATAAATAAATATATATATATATATAAATATACATATATATATTGTTTTTCTTGTAATGTTTCTACGTTTGAGTATTTAATTTTCATTATCCTCGCGTTCAAACAACTTAATCATCAGAAATGGTTTCCAGCGCAATTCAATTCTTACGCATAACAATAACTTTAAAAAAAACAAAAAAACAACAGGTTTTAATAAAAAAAAATGTTAAATTCATCCATTTAACGGCTTACCTATTTATTCAGCTGTTACTTTGAATTTCGAACTAAGATTGACTTAGATCTTCGACTTGAATAACAAGACTAACTGAATGACTTGTTTAATATGTATATATACTACCCATAATACCGAAAGCGAATGCAAATTATGTCAAGTTCTATTTTAATCCTGAACACTCAAATAGTGGTTACGGGAATTCCCATAATGACATTTTTTTAAAAATAATGTAAATAAACAGGGTGGCCTAAAAATGTGATAACATCGCTTTATTGTCAGACGCAAAAACGAAGAGTCAACACTTACAGAACGTCGTTGAGAGGCATGGACAAAAAAAGGGGTGGGTGGTGGGGTGAGGACCGACAGACAACATGTTTTATGATTAGCGTAGTAATTTCAATACAGCTGTAAATGACAATGCATTTTATTAATTCAATTATATAACTGTTTGTTACGAGACGTTCTCACTGATTTCTGGGCCACCATACATTACATACTTTTTTAAAAATTATTTATTTGGTGGGGGGGGGGGGGGGGGTTGTGTTTGGTGTTCAGACACTTGAACGTGGGA